TATCATACCCTTGTTTCTATATATCATTAATATCAAGTTCGAGGTTTGTTATTGTATCTATGATTTTGTGAAAAATACTTTTTCTACTTGTATTATCTACTTTCAGAAACTCTAAAAAGTATTCTTCTATTTTTATTGGACTTGTTGAGATATCTACACAATGTAATATGAGAGACATTTGTTCTTGATGACTTACATCCGGAGTACAATCAAGTATAATTGCATAATATTTTACTTCTTTAATTTTGTTAATAATATTATTTCTAATTTCATTTCCTAATAGACTTATCAATTCATTTTGCATCTTATGCAAAAGATAATGATTATGAGTTTCATCATGTTGAATGCGCCGGATGTGTTCTTATATTATTGGATCAAATTCTGCTATCATTTCAATTATACTTAAAAAAATTTCATTATTTTCTTGATATTTCTTTTCATTTTTCCCCAAAATACCAAATTACTTTTACCAAGATTCTTTACAACCACAATAATTCTCACTAATACGTTTTTTTAATATTCTTTCTCTCTATTAATTTGTTCTTGGATGGTTTTATCAATTGTTTCACTTTTTAACAATCTTGTTCCTAAATCAATCCAAATATTCATATTAGTAGGATGTTCATTAGATATTTCATGACTTTTAAGTTTAACGCTAAGACTTCTCAAATCTTTAGTCCCTTCATTAGCTAGCTTACTTGTACTATGATTCTTATCAAAGAACTTGCAATAAAAATAAAATACTCTATCCAAATCTTTTGAATATACTAGTCATCTTCTATCACATGTCTCCCCATTTGCTAATTTACGAATATAGTGTATAGTGGAAAAATGTCTAGAAAGCTGGTCTTTGGAAAAATCTAAATCATGATTTCTAATTGGANGAAAAATGACATAGCCTTGAGACAATAGTTAGTCATATCGCAAAGTACTAGGTTTAGATTATGACAACCGCATGACGTGTAAAATGCTCTACGATTTATATCTAAATTTTTTTTTTGTACCCCTTGATGTTTTCCTTTCATGTTAGATCCATTATCATACCCTTGTTTCTATATATCATTAATATCAAGTTCGAGGTTTGTTATTGTATCTATGATTTTGTGAAAAATACTTTTTCTACTTGTATTATCTACTTTCAGAAAACTCTAAAAAGTATTCTTCTATTTTTATTGGACTTGTTGAGATATCTACACAATGTAATATGAGAGACATTTGTTCTTGATGACTTACATCCGGAGTACAATCAAGTATAATTGCATAATATTTTACTTCTTTAATTTTGTTAATAATATTATTTCTAATTTCATTTCCTAATAGACTTATCAATTCATTTTGCATCTTATGCAAAAGATAATGATTATGAGTTTCATCATGTTGAATGCGCCGGATGTGTTCTTATATTATTGGATCAAATTCTGCTATCATTTCAATTATACTTAAAAAAATTTCATTATTTTCTTGATATTTCTTTTCATTTTTCCCCAAAATACCAAATTACTTTTACCAAGATTCTTTACAACCACAATAATTCTCACTAATACGTTTTTTTAATATTCTTTCTCTCTATTAATTTGTTCTTGGATGGTTTTATCAATTGTTTCACTTTTTAACAATCTTGTTCCTAAATCAATCCAAATATTCATATTAGTAGGATGTTCATTAGATATTTCATGACTTTTAAGTTTAACACTAAGACTTCTCAAATCTTTAGTCCCTTCATTAGCTAGCTTACTTGTACTATGATTCTTATCAAAGAACTTGCAATAAAAATAAAATACTCTATCCAAATCTTTTGAATATACTAGTCATCTTCTATCACATGTCTCCCCATTTGCTAATTTACGAATATAGTGTATAGTGGAAAAATGTCTAGAAAGCTAGTCTTTGGAAAAATCTAAATCATTATTTCTAATTGGACATTTTTCTACTAATAAGACTCTTAGTTTTGTATCAATATTATTCCATTGACTTGGATCATAAATATTCATAGCATTATAATTACTTGTTTCATTAAGATTTTCATGCTCTAATTTTTTTGTTTGTTCTTCATCATCTATTGTCATATTACATGTTTGACTAGAATTGTGCATATTTTCATTAGTATCTTTTTGTTGTATTATATTATAATCTTCTAATTCATTGGGAGTAATTATTAGTGCATTTACTAAATTTTCACCTATATTTTTTGTTCCATTTTTTTTTGTTACTAGTAACAAATTTATCAAGAAATCATTTTTGAGATTCCATTAATTCATCTCTTTTTTTTTTGAGCTTTTCTTATCCACTCGGTTGTTTTCTACTTGTCATACTATCAAATATTAACTAAACAATCACAAATAATGAAACAATCACACACAATCTATATTAAAAAAAATATAATAAGAACTTTAAATAAAAAATTCAAAGCATAGAATAATAACACCTGATTTATTGTTATTTTTGATTTTCTTGCGAAAATCGATTATCATAGTAGCAAAAGCCAAAACAACACCTCAGCCAACAAAAAATAATGGCACAGTGAAGTCCCTCTCACAGAGACAAATTTTACAGTGGAGAGAGGAGATAGAGAGATCCCCTGCCTTTGTTGGGGAGAGAAAGAGAGGGGTCTGTTTTGCCTCTTGGCATTTCTAGATTATTTTACCGTGGAGAGAGGAGAGAGGAAAAAGAAAGAAAATGATAAAGAGTGAGTAGTTAGAAGAATATGTTGAGGAGTGTGATATAAAAATATATCTAACAACCGTACATCACTTTTATAGATATATATTTTTTTAATAATTTTTTTGGTACGTGGACGGAAGAAATAAGCCTAAATTATCTAATTTAAATCTAAATTTTAACTTTTTTGTTGGCCATTAATTTTTATAAAATTAAAATTTTATTTTTGATTAGTAGCCATAATAATAAATTATGAGGCCTAATTAAAAATTAGGGCCTAAAGCCTGGGCTTTGCTGGCCTTGCAATAGGGCCGGCGCTGAAAGCACCAAGTGGGTCTGAATCTTTCCTAGAATGAACACAAACTCAGAAAGACTGCAGGGTTTGATGATAGAAGAAAATAAGAGACGAGAGGACAAGGAAACGCCCATTTTTACTCCATATTGTTTAACCCCATTTTTACAATAATGNGGTCTGAATCTTTCCTAGAATGAACACAAACTCAGAAAGACTGCAGGGTTTGATGACAGAAGAAAACAAGAGACGAGAGGACAAGGAAACGCCCATTTTTACTCCATATTGTTTAACCCCATTTTTACAATAAGGAACAATAATAGTCTAAATCGTTTGGATCTAATTACTTATATTTTTTAATTTTTTAAATCATGTTTACATTTAACATTTTAACTACAAATAAAATGGCTCCATATTTGAAAATATCACTACTACTATCCCTCTCTCTCCCTTCCTACTATTCTTCTTTGGCAGACACGCCCAAATTTAATATCTTAAATGATTCTAAAGCTTTAAACTAGTGAATTACGTGATTTTTTTTTAACTGGACCCACTCATACTCATTTAAAGGTCTTTACTCATTTGGGATCCACAGTTTTTTCTTTTTCATAACAACAAATTCACCCGTCGCAATTCCAATTAATTCAACCTCAGTATGTTTCAAATTTTTCAACCTAACATCTCATTTCCAATTTTCGCTAATCAATCTAAGAACTCAATAGGGAATTAAGTAAAAAAATTTCAGAAATGTTTTAGTAGGATTTTTCAACAGAAATTCACTAGAAAATTTTTTGGAAAAGTAATAGCTTTTGAAAATTTTAGAGCAGAGGCAATTCGCAATGGAGGAGAAAAACTGACAATCCTAAAGAACTCTGAATGCTTCCACACTTGGATGCATATCTGCTAGTGATGCGCTCGCTCTGGGGCAAAAATGTGGGTTTCTCAACTTTTGCCCACTGATCCCAAATGAACAAACACCGCAAGTTCCTGGCTTTCAAATCTTCAATCAGCATAAAAGCCATTGTCCAGATAACTCGCAATCCTCGTATCCCATTTAATGGTAATTGGTTTCGGCATTTTATCAAACAGCATACGGGCATGTTCCATATCTCCGACATTGCACCAAACTAATAAATTGAGCTCCTCGAGACAACGTCTGTGTCAGGAATTTCATCAAATATACTTTATGCGTATGCTGCTCCTCCTCCAATGCTTGTATGGCCAGATAGCATCATAATATATGGTTTGAGCAAAGGACCTTGTAAAGCATCAAAGAAAATAATTTCATTGCATTATCCAAATAAATGTCTGTGGACATCTGCTTAAGAATTTTACGGACGTCATCAATACATCAAAAGGAATAATACATATTTAGCAGAGAGTTTGGACAAAAGGATTATCATGAAAACCAGTTTTAATAATCTTACCACGGAGAGCTGAGTACTAACTGCATCAAGTAAAAATGCAAGTACCATGGAGAGCTGAGTACCAATTGCCTTGCTTCTTTACAATCTTATTCCATTTTCGTGGACGATGCAGCAATGAAACAAAGCTGCAAGAAAAAAATAACCATATGTGGGCTGCAAACCATTCAACAGAATAATTAACTTTCAACCTTCCAATCCCATTGCAAAGCCACAAAAACATTCATTCAAGGCTTGAAGCTACAGTGAAATGAAAATATTACCCATAAGAGAATATTGGGCCCAAGTAGGCCAGGTAGCAAAATTCAAAATTACAAGGTACATGTGAATTCAAAATCTAATTTAACAACTGGATCAGGTACACAGCCTTGATTACATCTTGAGACTCCAGGATATTATCCAGAGCCCTACAGATAATGAAGGTCCTTTGTTAGATCCTTACTCAACAAACAAATTATAAAAACCTCAAAAATATACAGCTCAATAGAGTTGTCTGTTGATATGACTCGACAGAAAATTTGGGAACAGAAATGGTAATATCTGTGAAAAATAAATGCAAAGGTAGGATATGCTGGTTGGAGAAGTCTGAAAAACAGCTTTTCATGAAGACCAAGACTATTCTTGAATCAGGAGAGCAGACTCTCACAAGCCTGCATATCAGCTCCCTGCGTTGCCAAGACTCCTTGCGCAGAAGGTGAAGAATTAATGCTGCTCTTGATGGCCTCATAAATGGCCACCCGGAACCTATCATCCTCTACCTTCCTCAAAACCTCTGCCACCACCTTGAAATCCAACCCCCCAGTCAAGACCAACTTTCCAATAACCTCCCCAAAGTTATATGGTGCTTTTGGTATATCAATGCCAATATCATCCATGATTGAACCATAAAGAAGACACCCAGAAACTATATCTTTAGGTGTTATAACGTTTTTGTGGAGCAAGAATTCAAGCAGCTTTGTGATGGGTTCTACGCAAGGTGGGCTCTTTTCTAGTGCCAACGCAATGGCTTCTTTAACGACCTCAGGGTGGTATGATGGAGAATTCAGCTCTGCCACACATTGCAATGCTTCATCGAGAATACGGACACTGAAATATTCTTCCAGAAGGGCAACAGTTTTTCTCTGAAGATCTGCAGGATCCAATTTTGCTTCATCATTCTGAGGCTTCACAGGAGGAGGAATTACTGATGGTGCCAGAGCAACGAGCTTGGATTTTTGAGTTGAGGGTTCAACTCCCGGGATAAACCCTGAAGGTTGTGGTGCACCACTTCCCTGCAACAAAGCACTGGTCTTTCCAGCTATAAAACCACTGCTTCCCTGAGGTAGGAATTTTGCATCAAGGGATGCTGCACTGCCAACTAAAGGTGGCTGAAGATGTCCGGAAGACTTAGAATACAAAGCATCAGCCCTTGGTACCGGTCTAGTTCTTGGAACCTCCCAATTGTCTGTATCCAGCCCTGGCATCCCAGGCATCTTCCTGGTCCCAGGCATACCAGGCATCATACCCCCAAGACCAGGTCTGGTTATGGGGAAGCCTCCAGGACCTGCAACTTGTGGCCCCACGTTACGACCATTCCTCATATTTGCAGTTGCACCTGGACGCAAACCTAGATTCTTCTCTGCCTCGTTATGGATTTCAGAGATTGTCTTTGCTCTCACCTGCCAAAAGAAATTAAATTAAATGCAATTGATCCAATATATTGTTAGAACAAAATATATTCCTCCTCAACCCCCTCCCCCCAACCCCTCGCTTTTCCTTTTTATTTCCTCCTCTCATCCAAGCAGAAAACAACTTGTGAAATCAGATACTGAAATCAAATGCGTTCCCTAATTATAACACCAGCTGTCTCATTCTCTTTCTCCGTGATTCGATTGTGAAATCAGAGATGTATTTGCTGTAAGACCTTGAATGACAACAATATGTTTTAAGTAAAGACAATACCCAATAACTGGTACTCCAATCATTTGGATTTCAGCATATAGGCAACAGAGAAAGAGAGAAAGAGACAGAGTGAGAGAGAGAGAGAGAGAATAGTTTGATCATTGCTGATTCTTAACATAAAATTATATTTTCATAGAGAAAATTTTAAAAAGAAATTGAAAATGAAGTTAAAACAATTATAGAGAAGAAAAAAACCTCTTCACGTCTGGGGACCCATTTATTGGCCCGTAGGTCAAGTACATTGCGGACCATAAACCTCAACCGTGCTGCAAGTTGAATATTCGTTGTCAGCTCCTTCAGCCTGCTGAAGTACATATCATTCACTCGCCGAGATTTTGGGCTATCATCCAGCTGCTTACCAATTGTATTAAAGAATTGACAAATTGCCTCCACATTTTCCTCGGCTGGGCAAGCTTTGGGGTCAGGTCCCAAGAGTTCCTTCATAAAAAAAAGCAGAATAAGGCCATACTATAGAACAATTAAGCCAACATATCTGATCAAGTAGCAAAAGCGAAGTGGTTGAACACAAATTCTGACCTGAACAATGTGGTGAACAATCTTTTCAGGAACCATCTTCTGCTTCAGTAGTTCTCCAATAAGGCGGATGTTTCCAAGGGTTCTCAATTTGATCATTCTTTCTTTGTCCCTGCGTTCCATTTCTTGCTCAGGGACAGTCATCTGACTAATTTCTGCCCTTAGATTGTCAGCACCTTCAAATGCCTCCTGGCAATTATTTAAAAGGATTCTCTTAAACGTAATCTCTTTCCCACCAGGTTCCTCAGAGGGAAAAGGAGGAAGCTTCTCGTTGAGGTCAGAACAAAGAAGAGCATACATGGGACAAAACGTTGGCTCCAGCACAGCCTTGTCAAATATCAATGAGATAACATCCTGCGGTAGCAATAAATCACTCCATCTTAACTTATCCAAAAGGAATAAATAAAGACCTCCATCTTATTAGCAAATAGAGAAAACTACAAAAAAAGAACAGATGTTTTCTTATGATTTTTAGAATACAGAACCTTTAGAATGTCGGGGCTTGTGATTCCGGAGTCGATCAATTGGCCCTTAAGAACGTCAAACTTCTCTGGGGTTAACTTGTTCAATATACTGGACAGAGATTACAATATTTCTCATAATCAGTCGAATCAAATCATTAACTTTGTTAGAATTGCATCGACTTCATTGGGATTCAAGAAAATGCATCACACAAAAAATCTGGATAAATTAATTACCCTTTCACTGTCTTTAAGACACGTTCCTTCTCGGACAAATTCCCTCTTCTTACTGACCATGGAACTTCAGCCTTTATAAGAGCAGCTGCAAGTCCTACCTGGTTCACATATGCCCGGCACTTATTGGAGAATCAGAAATATCATTGAATCTAAAAGACTAACAAAATACAAATAAAATTAGTCCAGCAACATATTAACTTCAAACGATCATAAATAATGATTATAGAAGGCTTAGTAACCCTAAAGTTAACTACACATGCTTCAACGCGCACTCCACCTAAAATTACAATTTTGAGAGTTCTATGAGTAAATCATGTTTGTCCACATGTTGTAGAATACAGACTGAGAAAGAAAATCGTGGAAACACACCCCATTCCTATCCTCATCCTCGTGTTGTGTTCTTTTTCAGAAGATTTTTACCAAAAGTCCATTCAAATTATATCTCATATTTTTATTATTTTTTGGATCACTGTTTGAACATGTTTTATTGTTGTTGTCTTTTAAAACTGTTTTCAAAATCATCTAACCAAACAGACTCTGGGATAAAAAAAAATCAAAACACTTTCTAAAACTCTTCTTGAAAACATATTTTGAATACTAGAATTTTCGAGACTATAAAATTTTGATCAAGCGTTGACATTTAAAAAAAACCAGCATCAAGCAAAATACCTTGTTTTTATCAGCACCAAACGTTGCTTCTATTGATAGAATGGACATTCCAGAATTTCAAGTCAACTAGGTTTAAGACACAACAATTGGTATAGGAAATTGTGAAACTGGATATAACCTAACTTACTTGTAATGGCATACATGTAATTAAAAATCACATAGAAAGTATTGTTGCTGATCAAATCTGATTTCTAGCACCCCTTTTTCATATCATTTATCTTCATTGAATCATCTTTTCCAATTGAAGTTAAAATATAGTCTTAGCAACCTTATAAGTATTCTTTTTCTCTGATTTGAAGTTATGATTGGCGACAAGCTAATTACAAATCTACATGATATTTATCAAAAAAGAGATCCATGAAAGTGTGGCTGCGTTTACCCAAAATGGAACAATCCACATACTACTAAGAGCATCTCCAATAGGCTCTCTCAACTCTCTAATTTAGAGAGTCAACCACAAAAAAATTAAGCTCCAATAGGCTCTTTATTTAGACTAGCTAAAATAGAGAGCCTTATTTAACTCTCTACATTTGGAGAACCCAACTCACTCTCTATTCTATTTTTAATGAATGACAAGGTGACACACATACATTCTTCATTAAATGTTATTGACTATAATAAGACTATTATAATAGAGAACCCATTAGAGTTGTCAAAAATATTTCAATCTCTATTTTAAAATTTTATCAAATATGCTCTTCTATTTCAAAAATATGCTCTCTAAAATAGAGAGTACTATTGGAAATGCTCTAATAAAAGTCACTTAACTTGAAAAACCTTTAAATCCTATATTTAACCTTACTTATAATTATAAAGTCCATTACATCCTTCGTGTCGTTTGATCGTCGTTCTTATGAAATCAATCACATCTATAACTATATCTCCGCTATTTATAAATGTCACTACTCTTAGCTTTTGATTGACTATATTATCCTTAGAGAAATATATAAAGACGAAATTGTACCATTCTCGATAAAATGTTCAAAATAGCCTTGAATATTTCCTTTAGTAAAACCTTACCTTTTATATGTTAAGATATTATTACCTCTACATAAGCATCTTTTATTCTTCATTTCATAGCTTAACCCTCGATCTTTTTTCTTTTTAGATTTTGAAGTGACTTATAATTTTTAAAATAACATAAATAAGTAATTTCATTAACATTCTCCAATCATTAAGCATTCAAAATTATTTTAAGAGTTCGTAATTTTAAAATTCGAATTTTATTTACAGTTTGAAAATAGAACATTAAATTATATTCTATGATGTTCGAGTCAACCATTGAACAGTTAAGTACCTCCCATCCAGATAAGGGAATTATATATCAGTATTACTACATATACTTGGGTTTGTAACTATATATTCATTATGATATTAATTTGATAATTTCATAAAAATTAAAACTCATACTATAACTATTACTCTAAATGGTCCAAGTGCAATGTTACTAGTAAAAGAAAAAATCACTTGTACATAACAGGTCATGATTATAGAAGCCAATGTTTTCTTAACAAGAGATATTCAAAGGCGACACCAATGTGCCAATCATAAATCTCCCCCAAAGAAGACAAACATATAATGCGACAATCTAAGATTCTATAATCTTTATGTATGCATTGCTTCTTTTAATTTCCTAAGGAAATGCAAACTATATAACATACTACATAACCAAACTTCAACCAATCTCCAACATCCAGACCAACGGGGCAACCGCCCAATGGTTTACCAGTACTTAGAGAAAATAACTCAATAAATGCAAGCCAGTGCCTCACCACGGCTAAGTGTAACACACTTGGACAATCCCTGGAGCAACAACATATCTATGCCCTATGACAAAACATGAGATTTTTCCAATTTATTTACAGATCACTTTCCTTTTTCCATTTCTTTTACATCACTCCGGTTTCCTTTCCCTGTTTTGGGGAGAGGCAGGGGATTCTACAAGGCAAATCGACTCACATATCATGAATTTTTACATACACAGACCTTCCACAATATCGAATACAGAAAAAGATGGACCACAAAAACAGTTTATAATGGAATATGAAGTTATTACCCCTTGATTGGACGATATTTGAGCCCTTGCAAACTGGGAATTCAACTGGTCTTGACGGAGATTTGCTTCGTGAGGTCTTGACTCAAATCTACCGGACAACTCCCTATTATCTCGCAGAGCTTCCCAGGATCTCTCCTCTCCTGACACAGGAGACGGTGCGGATCGGCCACGCCAATCACGGGCATCTGGCTCAGAATAACGAGTTTGGGTTTGATGCTACACCAAAAGAGAAGATAAAGGTAACAATTAGATCCTTCAAAGGATCATACACAAGATGTGGCTAATCACCAGAAATCACATTTAATGATGGCATCCATCATGATTGAGTATATCACAATGCCACCCAAAAATAGAACATAAAGAAAAGGAAAAAACAATCTTCCAATCCTCTAAAGTTATGATGCAAATGAAAATACAAAAAGTAACTTATCAACTAACATTGCTGTCTCCATGACCCCAGGTTTGATCTTCGCCAATGAATTCAGCCTCAATTTCTTGTTTAATCTTTAGAATATCCTCAGGGATCTCAGCAATCTGTAATATGTCAGATACACAAAGTACTTAAGATATGATGGTAGCAAAATAAGCACATGTGATTACAGAAAATTAAGATTCTAAAAAAAGAAATCTTCCCAAATAGCATCTGACTTTTTGAATGGTGGAAACAATATCACGAACAGAGAACATGCTCTCCGCCAGTCAATAAAACGATATTTAAAAACAAAACTGAATTATTATGAGAATGAAACATGACGAGTACCTCCCTTAGCTGCAGCAGATGATCTCGAGTGTAACGAACACGCTCATGATCTTCAAACTGCAAGTCCCCAGCCTATTTCAAACAAAGGAAAGAATCAAGACAGATAACACAACTACACAAGGATACAGAAAAGTATAGCTAGTTGAACACAAGCAAAGAGAAAAGAAGGTATCAGTAAGAATTCATATCTCACACTCGAGAACTACGTAACTGGAATAAAAGCCAATAATGAACACTAAAGGTCACGAATTCATCATACAATCACTGATTACAATTTGCAAAGAAATAGATAAGGAAAAAAAAACCGCATTGCAAGCATGCATTCAGATGGCCAATCAATTGCAACAAAAAAATAAGACATCCCCTCAGCAGTAATGACCAACTAAGAACTATAACTTGAATTAAAATCATTGGGATTCATCAAGCTGCCAAATATAAAATGGAATTGCTAGTGTGAATACTTTCCGACAGAGAAATAATATCCCAGATGCATCCTATGTATTCACAATTTAAATGAAAAATGGTGTTCATGATGTCACCATGACATCAAATAGAATACACGTAGATAGTTGTGCTCTCACCAGTTTAATTGTTCAATAAATTTGCAGATTCTTATGTCCCAACAAGAAACAATGTATTCGTCATAAATCTCCAATCGATGAAGACCCAGTGTTCCACACTATGGAAACTGTAATTGTCATGTACCACTATCTTATGGTCACCAAGGAAAGAAAGAACAGGAGAATTAAAATGAATGAAAGTAAAACCATGTGAAGTGGAGGCATGCATCATTAACTTGGTAGCTTGTTGCCCCATGTAACTCACCCTCTGAGGGATCATAGCTGCCTGAGGCATAATTAGATTAACCTCTGGGTATGCGCTAAAATAAATGAGCAGCAATACTTTTTTTATCAGCAGCAACAGAAACTTAGTAATAACAAAATCATTAAAAGATAGCAATAATACTATTTACATTTTTATTAGCTTAAAATTAAAGAACATTGCCTTCCCCAGCCAAAAAAAAAATAAAAGGAAAGGACAACAAAAAGGCAGAGAAAGTTCTAATCCTTTTGCTGGATTGGGCAATAAGCATATAAGAAGCCAACTCTAGGCAAATAGGAGCATGGTCATCCACTTTGGTTTAATACTTAAAAAAAAAAGTCACTGTTCATTTTCATGACCATGACTTTATCACTTAGCAACGAAGATAAGAAAAGGGGATGGCAATGTGTACTGTGGACCAGAGCATATTAAGTCGCGTACACCAAGACTTCATATTCAATGCAGTATCATATGCCTCCCAAGTGAAATCTACAGCCACACACACACACATTAATCCTTCAGCATCACATGCAGGGACCTGCTCGTACTTGATATCATGGTCAGATGCATATTAAATTCATGCAATGTCTCTCTATCAATTGTGTTCAGGAAATCTACAGAGAACATGTTAAAAAAAGATTGTGATGTGCTCAAATCTATTTGTTAGCTGATATCGCACTTATTGAAGGTTTAATCTGTGTTCCGCTTTCAAATATTGATGGACAAAATGCTCTAGTATCTTTTGCCATCTTATTTCTTCTACCTATCTTCTTTAACAAAAAACCGTGCAATCAAATCCCATTTACAACAAGAATCTAAATCCAAATGTATGTGAGTTCTTTATGAGCATCCTTCGCTCCTTGAATGCCCACCTAAAGCCCACATTTTTTTATTTGTCCATATTTACAGCAAGTACACATACTTACGTGCCCTGCCAAGAATTAGGACAATCTTTTTTTTCACTAAGCCAAATTAGGACAATCATCTACAACCATTACATACATGCGCTCGTAGGTGCACAAGCAACTAAATGAAGCACATCAAATGACAGAAATGGAGGTTATCCTTCCAAAGCCAGAGATCTAAGGGCCTGCTTGGCATCATGTCACATCCTACTTATTTTTCATTGCTCTCATGGTTTATAATCTTTTGGCCTAAATTCACTGAATATATTTAAATCAAAAGCACAAAATTTTCATTGCGCATTGTACATATTTTTTGTCTAACAGCACTGAACAAACTAAAAGCCACAGCACCAAATTCTATCCTCCTAAAACTTGCCTATTTTTCATTTTAACAATTTTTGGTTTCCTTTCAGTTTGCATCTCCAATCTCCAGACTCCAACTCACAATATCAAGTAAAATATAATGCATATTCGGGGAACAAATGAAGTCCAATCTGCAAAAATATCAGTATCACTATATATATTTATACATGCATATACATCTATATAATAAAATAGGAGTGTGTTTGAATTTTATCCCAGTCATATTTTTCCCCTCAAAACCATCATCAATTACTTATCTCACCCATCATTCAAATCCATCATCAATCTCTTATCTCACCCATCATCCTTTTGTTAGACTCAAACGTCAGCATCACTTATTTCTATCACATGTTTAATCTTTTATATATTTCTTCTCTAAAAACATCACATCACATCATTCATTTTTATCATATATTTAATCATTTAATATTTGATTAATTTGTAATTAATATATTTTTAAAAAAATTAATATAATGGGATCGATTTTTTGGACGCTTGAATTTTATATTTTATTGTGCCTTCAAGCACGGGTTATGGCTAGTCTATATAATATTACAACTAGAAAGTTTAATTCTCAACTTCTAAAAACATAACAATAGTCAAGATTGATTCAATCTTCATCTAATTTAATCCAATGATACAAAATTCATCTCAAAAAAAAAAAAAAATTCACCCAAAAACATCTACTTGTCTGCATGACCCCAAATGCCAAACACAACCCAAAATCAACACACTCCTCGATGTCAAACAATTTCATCAATCTACACTTACCTCCCTTTGCACAACCCGCAAGCCAAACAACCCAAAATCAACACAAACTTATTACCAAAATACGATTTTTTTCTAACTTAATTATTAAAATACAACACTTTTGAACTTATTTACCAAACTTCAGTACTTTTTAAAAACAGAGTCAATAACTCCGTTTTGTTAAAAAAACGGATTCAATAACACCGCTTTTGTTAAAAAAAAACAGATTTAACAACCCCACTTTTAAAAAAATATAATAAAATTGGGCAGTGGGAAAAGCGTGTTTAGTAAACACACTTTTTAAGCTTTTTGTAAAAAACGTGTTTAATAATCACGCTTTTTATAAAACTTTGCCAACAATTTTCATTTTTCCTCACCATTCCAATTAACTGCAATTAAAAATGCTGTGCAGCTTGACACTGCTGCTCCAAGGGTTAATATCTTGGCGTCCTGGTCCCTTCTTCGTCTACCTTACCACCTGATGTCAGTCCAAATCAACTACTTCCACTTAACTTCAAAATTGAATCTGGAACCTCCATGATTTGTCCCCATATATTTGGTATTGTTGCTCTGCTCAAAGCCATCCATCCCGGATGGAGCCATGCTGCGATTAAGTCTGCCTTGGTTACCACAGGTAAAATCTAGTAGTTGAACATATAGGGAGGGAATGCTTCCTGATGCCTTGCCCATAATTTGATTTTATAGATATATACAGAAAAGATTAGTGCCTTTGATGGGTTTGAGTTACTAGTCTAAACATGTTAACGCCTCTGACTCTCTCATTCTTTCTTTTTGACTCCTGAACCCAGCCTCTGTGAAGTATGGATATGATCAATGTGCTGCTGCCGAGGGAGCTCCACACAAGAAGGCCGACCCATTTGATTATGGTGGTGGTTATGTAGATCCTAACAAAGCCATAGACCCTGGTCTCATATACAACATGAACATCGAAAATTACGCCCTCTTCCTTTGTTCCATGGACTACAATGAAACTGCCATTAGCTGACTGAATGGGGCTCCGACTCCATGCCGTAAACAAAACAACTTCTAGCAAACTTTAATCTTCCATCTATCTGTATTTCAGTATTGTGTAAAAAGCGTGTTTATTAAACGCACTTTTCATGAAAAGCTTACAACGCGTGTTTATTACGCTGTCCAAATTTTATTTTTTTTAAAGCGGCTTTGCTGAATCAGCCTTTTTGAGTTATTAAATTCGATTTTAAAAAGTGTTGTAATTTGGTAAATAAGTTCAAAAGTGTTGTATTTTGGTAACTGGTAAATAAGTTAGAAAAGAACCGTATTTTAGTAATAAATTCAAATCAACGCCCTCTCCAATGTCAAATAATCTCATCAATCCACACCAACTTCTCTCATCATTTAAATTTTAAATTACATAATTAAAAAAACTAAATTATTATTTAAAATATAAATATTGCAAGATCAGCTCAAGTTTTGATGTTATAGTATCTTCGGATACGGGTTTATTGCTAGTATATCTATAAATATATACACACAGATACATACTCCCTCCGTTCCTAAATATCTATCGTTTAAGGTTTTTTTATAGAGGGATTAAGAAAGCTATTAAATAGCTCTAATACGAGTAAAAAATAATTACACAAGACTAAAATACCTTTATTCAATACGTATTAGAAGGAAAGAAAAAGAATATAAAAGACACTTAGTCTACACTTAATCTATTAAGCACTTATTAAAAAACAGAAATAAGGGTAAATTTGGAAGAAAAATATTTATTATATTTTGGTTTCATTAAACGACAGATATTATGAAATAAAAAAAATTGTGTAAAACGATATACATTTCGGAACAGAGGGAGTATGTACGTATGCATCTTACATATACCACATTACGCTGGGCCAATTAATAAAGCATGCTTGGGAGGGGTGGACTGTGTCTGAAGCTTAATCTTTGGCATCATCTGACTCATAAATCCACAGTTATTAGACCAACATGTCTGCCATTAAATTAATATCATCAGGCCTGACTTTATATATGCAAGAAAATCCAGTACAATCCTATTTTTAAAACCTAAATAAATAAGCGCAAATAAAATCGCACACTAAAATTGAAAACATTAAAAGCAAAACGTGGAAAGTAAAAATTAAAAAAAAACCCAGAAAAATAAAAAGTAAGCATAAAACAAGAAAACAGTTAAATCTTTTGGAATCCAAAAATTTTGAAAAAAAATGATTGTATGCTGACCTTGAAACCACTAAAACCATAGCGGCGAAGAGGGAAAGAGTCAGATGAAACAGAAGTGGAGCTGCTGCTGAGGCTCAGAGCAAATCTGCTGCCTCGCGTTCCAGCAACGCCTCCGGGTCTCAAGCTTATCTGAACCGTCTGATCTGCCTGCTGCATCACTCAGATCTAAACCCAGCGAGAAAATTGTGGCCGTCGGATCGGGTAGTGAGAGAGAGAGAGTTACAAGATTGAATCTTTCTTGGATGGGAAAGAGATAGAGAGGGAGATTTCGATTCTCTCCCTCTATAACATCTATCTCTCTTCGCAGGCTGCAAAGAGGGGAAAGAGGGAAATTGAGAAGCGGAAACCCTATTTATTACCACTGTATGGGATAGGGAAGACTTGGGCCGGGAAGGGCCCACCCATGTATGGGGTAGGGTAGCTATGGGCTGTGAGGCCCACACAAACCAGACACAGTTCAGAAATTTTAATACTGGACTAGAATATTGGGGGCTGACGGTGAAAACTTTCAGTTTTTAGTTTTTTAAAAATTTAGGATCGTTTGATAATCGTTTTTATTTTCTGTTTTCTATTTTTATTTTTAATTTTTGCCAAAAAAAAAAACATTTGGGTTGTGTTTCCATTTTTTTCCAGCTACCTTGTTTTGAAAACAAGCCCAAATTTTGCAAATATAAATTTGATGCTTTCAAAAACAACAAAAACTAAAAACGCGAGTGGGGGAGGAAGAGTTTAATGAGATCCACCCATAGAACCCTCTTGGCAGAAAAAATCTTTATTTTTTTCTCGGAACTATCTATACCCACATATGACAAGGGTTTCTCTTTTTTCTCGTTTACCATCTCTTTCTCTCTCGCCCTTGTATCGTTATTCAGTCGGAGGTTCGATAGCCATGAAAAAAGGTGAGTTTTTTAAATAGATCTTAATGGTGTTCATTAAGTGGATGAGTAGAATGTGTTAATTACATATATCAGTCTGGACTTAAGTATTACAAAGTTCGTGAGGATTATGATTGGATTCTTAGGGAGTTGGGGTGGCTTGCACAGTGAAAGTATAGTGGTTTACCGAGTTTGGGAGCTCGACTAATCTGTTCTTAAAGGGAGTCTCTTGCTCCTTGGATTTATATTGATGGCAGCTATAAATTACAAAATGTTTTTCATACAATTGGGGGTCCCCCTTTGATGGAGGCATTGTCCAGTTTTTATAACCCGATTCCTATTTCTAAGGGATCTGTAGCAAAATCCTTGCCCTTATCTGCGGGATTCCCTTGATTTTGGGAGAGGATCCTATGTGGTTGAGAGTTTCGTGCCTTAATCACTGCCTTCTATTATTTTGGAGATGCCTCCTATTAGCCAGCTATTCCCTTACCATCTCCTTGTTTCTTTCATGCGAAGGGAGCTCGAGTTCTGGGTTTCTGAGCTCTGGGTTCGTTATCTGACCTTCTTGTTTGACCTTTTTGTCTGACCTCCTTAATTGAGCTCATACTTAGAGTTTATTCTAGGCACCATCAGTTGTCCCCAGCCCTTGGTTCAAGCGAGTTTGGAGAAGGGCTGAATTAAGGCTAGGTTGAGGTAGACCTTCATCCTATGGCCTCGACATGCGTGTGAACAAGTTTTCAATGGCTTTACCTAATCATTCCTTCCCTCATTTTTCGTGCACATTCCCCACTTTCGAAACCCAAGTACTGAAAGCTTTAAATGTTCTCATGGCGACGAAAATCGCCTCGTTTCACTATTCAGCTTCCTTCTCTAGTCTTCCTTTTTTCTTGCGATCTTGGCTCTTTGACTCGAAATACTCAGGTTTCACACCAAAAATCGTCTTCTGGTTCAATTCGAGGATTCGCACGTTTTACCCCTTTGATTTCACTTTGGGCAGTGGTCCGTTGCTCATTCCAAGCTAGGTACGTTTTTCCCCTTTTCATGTTCTGGATTCCTTGAATCTAAGGTGGTTACTATATTTCTGGACTTTTCGATTATGCTATTTTAGGAATCGGGGTTACTCTTTGTCTCGTCTTCCTCTCTTTCTTGACCCTTACTCTACAGTTAGAATTTTCCTTATTGGCAATTGTTGTGTGACCCCGTGACCTTTAGAGAGTGCTTTTCAGAGGTGCCACCTCTCTATAGATCCTTTAAACTTTCTTTCTCTTACCCAGTTATGTCTACCTCATCCGAAGCCACAACTTCATCGGTCTCCCTCATGGGGGATAGATCTCCCGAAACGGAGGATACTGACTTAGGAGACGTGGGAGAGGAGATTGATAGCTTTGCTGGTGTCGGTTCTGTTGATATTGAGGAAGATGTTGAGGAGCCTCCTTCTTCGTCCTCCTTAGTGCCCAAAAACCCCAACAAAGGTAAGGCCAAGGTGAGTGGCATAAGGATCTTAGATAGCGCAGAGGGCGTAGGGGCTGTATCCAAAGCTACAGAGCTCATTGGTGCCAGTGAGGTCTCTCTTCCTCAGATGAAAGTCCTAGCTACTCATTTTGGTTTTCCCCAGGGTGTACAGTTCTGGTGCCTAGACGAATTTACCCGATATAACTCTGTGGTCTTGGAAATGACCTGCTTCTTCGTAGCTTCTTTCGAGAACAGGACTTAGGTTCCTTGTGCATCCCTTTATCAAGTCTATCCTCCAGCACTTTAACGTCTGCCCATGCTCAAATCTCTCCTAACTTTTTTTTTTTTGGGGGGGGGGGGGTCTTGGTAGGCCTTCTAGTCTTTTTCAAGAAAAACAAAATTGGCACCCCTACAATTCCACTGCTCATGAAATTCTTCAACATCAAATTTAATCCGAACGATTTTTTGAATATCACCAAATAGGTGAAAACCCTAGCCTTGATCACTGACCTGCCTAGCTCTCATAAGAACTGGAAGAAATTGTTTTTCTTTATGTCAGGGAAAGCATGGGAATTTAACCCCAGTGACGCCACTGACTCTCTTCCAGTCCCACACTCCTAGGCGGGTCCAGATAACCTGGTAAGCTTAAGATTCTGAAAAGGCCCCCCTTTTCCTCCTTTTATCGTTAGACGCTGAGCTTGTTTCTTTGGTTGTTCTAAGTATTCGTCCTGAGCTAGAAGCAGAGGATAGGAGAGTTTTGCTCACTTTTAGGGATTGAAAATTAGAGAGGTACTCCACTCTGATTGACCATTTCGAGCTCATAAAACTAGGTTTTAGCCCTCCAAAGGTGAGGATCGAAACCCCCATTCCCATTTCGTTGTTGGAGCTGAAGAAGTGTCAGGTGATACCTTTGCTTCCAACTCTTACCACTTCCTACTCTCCTACTCCTACTTCTTTTTTTAATATATTTCTCCTAAACTCTTAGGTTCCTCATCAATGGAGCCTACTTCAAAGGATTATATGGCCAAAGTGGCCTTGTTAAAGAAAACCCGGAGCGGGAATAAACGCAAGGCTAAGGCCGGTTCTGGGAGTGACTCAATCTCCCTAGCCAAGGTACCTAGATTGGAGGATCCTTTTTATTCTCCCCAATTGCCTCAGGTGACCCCCTATCTCATTCGAGCTCCCTGAAGGTCACCCAGATCTCTCTTCCTCAAGAGACTATACTGCCATCTTCTGGAGGGACCCCCGAGCAAAGCGTAGTCCGAATCTCTTCCTCCTTGGCAGGGGTTGAGAGAGCTTTGGAGATAGTCTCGCACATTTTACCTGGGTCCGTTCCTCCTTGCCCTACTGAGAGGTCCTCTCTGTAACTCCCCAAGGTCTCTAAGAGCAAGAAAGGGAAGCTCCCTGGTGTTGAGACAGGTGGGGGCTCCCTAATCGATAACGTAAGGCGTGCTACAGAAGTCATTGCCTCTATTATTCCAGAATCTGATATCCAGATGGCTGCAACAATGCCCCTAGGAACTTTTATTTCTATTGCCCTGTTCGGCGCTACTTCTGTAAGTTTCTGGCCTTTCAACTTTCTTCTTTACCTTGCGTCATTCCCTCATGCTAACTTTAGCCTTTTGGGTTGTGTTTGCTCTTAGATGGCCATTCATATAAGTGGCTTACTGAAGAGGATCCAAGCTTTGAAGGGCTCTGCCAAAGCTTCCAAGGCTTTCGAGCTCAAGGTTGCTGAGCTGTCTTTTGAAAACAGCGACCTTAAAGCCTAGGTCCAGGATTTGCAGGCGCAAGTGGAGTGGCAGACCTCCCTCAACAAAGGCTTAGAGGTCAAGAAAGAGAAGATTGAAGGTGAGGGCAAGCACATCAAATAGGAGCTTGAGAAGACAAAGGAGGAACTTAGGGAGACCAAGGAGGAGCTTAGGCTAAAGATATATGATTGGATTAAGGCCAGTCGAGAGACTCTCAAAGCCTTAAGCTCTTATAGGGGCATGGAAAGAGAGTATGACTTCTTGGCATAGACAAGCGACGTTCTTCAGAATGAGCTCTAGGTGCAAAGGGCTGTAGCTCAAAAGAAGGATGATCTAATTGCTAAGTTGGCTGACGATGTCACCACTCAGTGGGCTACCAATTGGCTCACTTTCCAAGACAAAACTGAGCAAACTTACCCTGGTTTGAATTTTGACTTTGAGATCTCAATTGAGGAAGACGCTGAGGCAGCTAGCACTGAAACCAGTGTCTTGACCCCTTCTACTTCTAAGATAGCTCCTGAAGGGGTTGAGTGCCTATTCCGCCTATTGAGGTTCAGGCTCAAGGTGTTTCTTCCTTTTCAGTCATTTCTATAAGTCTCACCTCTAAAACTGCTCCTGTTTTAACAGCTAGAGATCATTTTGCTTCATCTGTCCTTGTGGTTCAAACCCCTAATTCGAATTTGCCAATAACCGAAGTCATTGTCTCTACTCCTCCACCTGCTCCTGAGCTCCTAGAATCTTCAACCGCTGATCTGCCAAGTTCTACTCCTTCAGGAGCTCCCACAACTGAGCTACCAAACTCTTCTCCTATGGAAATTTCAATAGCTGAGCTGCTAGGCTCCTCTCCACCTGTTCTTAATACATAAACCTAGGATTTTCTCCTTTCTTTCTCTTTTTCGAAGAATGTTAAGTTGAATTTTTATATTTGAATTGTTGAACTTCTGTTGGGAAATGTACATGCATACTGCTTTTCTGAATTACTGATGTCAATACCCACTGTTTTTGAGTTATTGTGCACACTGCTTTACTTTGCTTTACATTCACCTTGCCCCCTTGCTTTGAGGGGTCTTTTAGATCTCCA